TGAAAGAGGTTGCCAAGCTTCTAAAGAATTACGAGTTTCCTGAAATCTCAGCAAATATTTTTTCACCCAAACTTGATGATACTTTCAGGTAATGATCAGTACACTAACCCACTTGGCTGCCCAAATTTCGTTCTTCTATGTTTAAGTGTTTGTTTCTAGTAACAGTTTAAATTTTTAGCTTTCACTCTGTTTATTTCTATATTGATAGATGTAGTTGGGAATCTAAATCAGACACTGTTTGTTCTAGCTTTTTGATCTTCAAGCAATAACGTAGGTTCCAGTTCTATCTCTATGTTTTGTTTCCTCTTGATGTAGCCCTAAAAAGCGATTGGCAAGAAACACTTTCATTGAAATGGGTTGCCTAGCTTTCAAAGAATTATGAGTTTCCTGAAATCTCAGCAAATATTTTTCACCCAAACTTAATGATACTTTCAGGTAATGATCAGTACACTAAGCCCACTTGGCTCCCCAAAATCTTTTTTCTATGTTGAAGTGTTTGTTTCCAGTAACAGTTTGAATTTTTAGGTTTCACTCTGTTTACTTCTATATTGATAGATGTATTTGGGAATCTAAATCAAACACGGTTTTTGCTAGATTCTGGAACTTGACACAATAAAGTAGTTTCAAGTTTTATCTCTATTTTTTTTTGCCTCTTGATGTAGCCCTAAAGAGTCACTGGTGAAAAACACTTTCGTTGAAAGGAGTTGCCAAGCTTTCTGAAAATTACAAGTTTCCTGAAATCTCAGCAAATATTTTTTCACCCAAACTTCATGATACTTTCAGGTAATTATCAGTACACTAAGCTGCCAATGTCTTGGATTAGCACAGAATCACAAGCCACCTCACACCTTGTAGATTCAAACAGCAATTCTTTATTCCCAAACTCACACCGGCCGTCTACAAACACATTCTGGGAAAATTCAAGTTCTGCTGCCAATTCACCTACTCCATGAAGCTTTTTTTCAATCCCATTTGAATCTCAAGAAAACTCAATGGGAACAAGCAGCAGGAACAACCTAATCCCAGCAGCAATAATCTTCAACCTCCAACTTCCCTAAAACTTCTATTGTCTTAAACCGGGAACACGCTAAACTTGTCTTAAACCGGGAATGCCTTAAACTCAAAGAGCAGGAAACTTCCTGAAACCTGATCAGCTCTAAAACTGGACCCACCGTGGTCTTTGAGTAAGATCACCTTACTGAAGCATACATGCAATGCCCCATTGAATGTCTTCTAAGCAGCATGGGGTACACTGGCAAGGAAATATCAATGTGTCATTTCTACTTGGAAATGGCCCTCACAATCTCCCTTCTTCTGATTAATTAAACAACAAGCAATGTGGCTTAAGGACCATGCCTGGTAGGTTGTCCAGTTCAACATATGGTTCTTACCCATAATGGGAGAACTGATCTTTAGGTGTCAGCTTCCTGTCTTAGGTTGAATCCACTGCAATCAGATAAACCCGTCACTGACTACCGGTCCAGCATTCAGCAATGCTTGTGAATAGGCCCATGCATCAGTGGAGGGGTGAGGTTCTTCCCTCACCTCTGTTGGCCCCCAAATTTAGCCTTGGTTCCAGTGGGGGGTGAGGTTTTTATTCCTCACCTCTGTTGGCCCCCAAATTTTAGACCATCACTAGTAGAAGGGAGGAGGATACAGAAATGCCAAGACACCAAGCCAATTGATGGCTCCTTTGGAAAAATTGTGTCACTGTTGACACCATCAGCAAAGATATGCCAGCATTACCACAATTAACATGGGGTGCGCTGGCAAGGAAATTGCATCACTGGTGACACCATCAGCAACGATATGCCAGCAGTACCCCCAATTCACTGCACCAGACAATAGTTCACAATGCATGCAACTGATATATAGTCCAGGCAAGTTCTGCAAAAAGTTCAAATCAGGAGTCTATCAATATGTCCATTTCCTCCAAAAGTAAATCAAGTCCTTGATTGAGCATTACTTGTTGAGTTATATTTATTGATGCATCAGTTTATACAGTTTACTGTGATAGCTATCATAGGAGCTGTAGGTTGGTTTTATCTTAGTCTTCACTGGCACTGCGATGGAGATAAGAATTCTGGCAATGATGCTAAAGAGACATTATCCTTAACAGAATTAATAAATATAATGAAAAGGAAAGGTGAAAGTAAACAAACAGATCTGTTAACCACCTTTAAAAACAATCTTTAACAGCTGTTTACCTAATTTAAATTAGTAAGCAAACGGATCTGTTAACCACCTTTAAAAACAATTATTAACAGCTGTTTACATAATTTAAATTAAACCATATAAATCACGTGAATAAAAAAAAATTCGGATCCATTTTTTTATGAGCGCTCCTCATATATGAAATATGGACATACACACATACAGACATACAACACAAAACAATGCACACATAACATACAACACATAAGACAATAATAAGTAAAGGCCTTGTAGCTATACCTAGGTTAAATCTCCATTGCAATGTTTAAAAACTCCACAGTCAAAAAATAAAACTGACCAGAAAAACATTAACCTAGGTTTGTATGAGCTCAAAAAATAAAATAGAACTTTTTGATGTGGGAAAAATGCAATAATAAAGTAGATATTGAAAAAAGCACCGTCGTTAATCACTGTCATAGATGTAAGAATAGACAAGCTGGAGCTCTGGATATCAGCTGTTATGGATTTGAGTCAAATTATCTTTTTTTGGTCTGTAGAAATTGCTTTAGTTAGTGTCTCTGGAATCCAAATTGGCTGCTGTTCTCCCTGTGTAAACAAAAAGAACCCTGACTCCAGACAAACACTGGGTCAGGAGCTTTTCATAGTCCTGTTAGAATATCTTTCCAAAGTACCTTAGGCTTATGTACATTTTTTGGATACATTTGTCTTTCCGCAGCATTAAGTCTTGATGAATCCAAATTTTAAAAGTTTAGAGTAAAAAAGGTTATTTTAAGTTTATCTTTGGGGGATATATACCCCTTAAAAATCCTTTTAAATTTAAATCTTTCAAAAGCATTCTGCCTTAGTGTTTAGAATTATTTTAGTCCTTTTAATTTTTTTGATGTGGTTTTAAACCAATTTCTTTCTAGTTTAAAATTTAACACCCTCATCTGAGACTTCTAATTTCTGCATCACCAGAAATTAAAGTAGATGGGCTTTTTAAAAAAATTACTAATAATCTCCTTGTTCTTCTGTTTTATCCAATATTTGACTTTAAACTTCTCTTTTCTACCTATTTCTATCTAGAATGTCTGTATCTAATAGTTGTCTTAGCTTTTTGTATTTTCTATCTGAAATACCTTTACTTAACATTTTTAACCATTTTCTATCTTATTTCTATCTTCTAGTTTTTTTCTAAGGTTCTTATATTTACCCTTAGTTGCTTTTTTCTCTCCTAGTTTTCTTTTGTTTCTAATTTTGTGGGTTAAATTTCTTTTCTTTCTACATCTTTTTTATCTTCCTATATAATTTTTATCTTTCTACATCTTCTCTCTTTTTTTTACCTTTCTACATCTTCTCTCTTTTTTTTACCTTTCGGTACTTCTGTTTTTGAAGTTTTTCACTTCAAATTTTTAATCTATTTTATCTAAATATCTTTTATCTTATTATCTTCCCATTTTCATGTTTTTTTCCCTCCATCATGAAGGCATCTTAACCACCTTCAATTTAACCTTTTAAAGCCTTTTGCAACTTATTTAGACATTTTACAACTTTTAGCTTTACCACACAAAGATTATCCCATCTCCCTTTTTTCGGTTTAATAAGTAGTTTGATGAGTAAAGCAATATTTTTTCCGCCATGAAGGTATCTCGACTACCTTCAATTTAACCTTTTAAAGCCTTCCAATTATCTATACTGTACTTTTAAATGTACTTTTTCACCACCTACAGCTTCATTCTTTTAAACGAAGCTTAGATTCTGTTTAAATCGCTGTAATGTTAGTTTACATGGCTGCCCTTCAACCAAAGACTCTTTTTTTACTCCATTAAGAAGCTTTGTCTCAATCTGCCATGTACAAATACCTTTTTTCTTCTTTCTTCCTTTTTCAAGCTTTTAAAGTAAGTCTAGTTTCCTCAAAATTTTTTAAATGGCTTTTTACAACTTTTTACTTTACTACACAGAGATTATCTCATCTAGAAACGTTTCTTTTTCCTTTAACCTTTTATATTAAAATATATTTCCACATCTTGAATATTTTTATCTCTTTTTTAACCGTTAACCCTTTATATAAATTCACATTCTGAAACAACCCTTATAAAATTTCTGATTTAGACAAATTACTCCACTTTAATAAGATGAAATATTTTCATGTTTTCAAAGGTACTATTATACTGTAATTGAAACCCAAATGAAACTTCTTATACTCTTTGTATATAAATTACACATGATAGAATCTTAACACTTAGTAACCTTGTTTCAGCAAAGACACAGACTAAAGCCATATTAAACATTTTTCCATTTACCAATTTATGAAAACACACATAATGTTTAAATATATTATCTTATGGAACTTAACAAGTAAAGAGTACTTGATTTTATATTTAGTGGTTGATATTTTAACACTGTAGCTTTTTAAATTAATCAGATGTCTCTAAAAACCAAGATCTTAGACAATATAGTACACAGAACTAGCCATCTCTTTCTTGTTGAAGAAAAATCCTTCTACAGGATGCCATGATAGTCCCATTGATATACTTAATAACCCGTCTTTAAGAAGCCATGGGCTACATTTTTGTATTGTATCAACATGTGTCCTAACTGTTCTTGGTCTTACTGGGGTGCCTCCTTCCTCTAACAATTTCTGTTACTCAGGGGTGAACAACTTCAAACTTTGAGTCAACCATTTTCCCCAGTTTACCTGAGAAAGTTCTAGGAACAGGCAACTTGAAATAAAAACAAAATAAATCAAAACAAGAACACATTGTTTTTTGAAATGGTTACCCATTTTTTTGCTCTCCTTCAGGAGCGAGCAAATTCTCTTACCCCCAAGCTTCATACTTCAAGGGGGTCTGGAACATTGTCAATAATATTCCCTTCCTGTGAAATTCAATCATGAGATATGTGCTGACTTTCAGATCACATTTGATTGACAGTCCACCAACTTACAATGTGCACTATGGCTACAAAAACTGGGAAGCCTTCTCGAACCTCTCCTACTATACCAGAGCCCTTCCTCCTGTGGCAGATGACTGCCCAACACCCATGGGTGTGAAAGGGAAGAAGGAGCTTTCTGATTCTAAAGAGGTGTTTGAAAATGTTCTTTTAAGAAGAAAGTTCCTTCCTGACCCCCAAGGCACCAATATGATGTTTGCATTCTTTGCTCAGCACTTCACCCATCAAATTCTTAAGTCAGATCGGAATCCAGGGCCAGCTTTCACCACAGGACTGGGCCATAGGCTGTACCTAAGTCATGTTTATGGTGAAACTCTGGATAGACAACATAAGCTGCGCCTCTTCAAGGATAGAAAACTAAAATATCAGGTGATTGATGGAGAGGTGTATCCTCCCATAGTCAAAGACACTCAGGTGGAGATGATCTACCCTCCTCACGTCCCTGAACACCTTCAGTTTGCAGTGGGGCAGAAGGTCTTTGGTCTAGTGCCTGGTCTGATGATGTATGCAACAATCTGGCTACAGGAACATAATCGAGTGTGCGATGTTCTTAAACAGGAACATCCAGAGTGGGATGATGAGTGGTTGTTCCAGACAAGCAGACTAATATTAATAGGGGAGACCATTAAAATTGTGATTGAAGACTATGTTCAGCACTTGAATGGCTATCACTTCAAACTGAAGTTTGACCCAGAGCTGCTTTTCAACCAACAATTCCAGTACCAAAACCATATTTCTTCTGAGTTTAACACACTTTATCACTGGCATCCCCTTCTGCCTGACACCTTTCAAATTCATGACCAGGAGTACAACTATCAACAGTTTATATACAACAATTCCATATTACTGAAACATGGACTTACCCAGTTCGTTGAGTAATTTACCAGGCAAATTGCTGGCAGTGTTTTTGGTGGCAGAAATGTGCCATCTCCAGTACAAGCAGTGGCCAAGGCCTCAATTGACCATAGCAGAAATATGAAATACCAGTGTTTCAATGATTACCACAAATGCTTCAACCTGAAGCCCTACAAATTATTTGAAGAACTTACAGGAGAGAAGGAAATGGCGGCAGAGTTGGAAGCCCTCTATTGTGACATTGATGCCTTGGAGTTTTATCCTGCCTTCCTGGTGGAAAAGCCTCGTCCTGATGCTATCTTTAATGAGACCATGGTGGAAATGGGCGCACCATTCTCCTTTAAAGACTTTTGGGTAATCCTATGTGTTCTCCTCACTATTGGAAACCAAGCACTTTTGGAGGAGAAGAAGGCTTTAAGATCATTAACACTGCCTCTATTCAGTCCCTCATCTGCCGTAACGTGAAGGGCTGTCCCTTCGTCTAATTCAGTGTTCAGGATCCACTGCTCACCAAGACAGTCACCATCAATGCAAGTACTTCCCACTCCAGACTAGAAGACATCAATTCCACAGTACTACTGAAAGGACATTCAACAGAACTGTAGAAGTCTATTGATCATATTTATTTATTTATCGACCATTCCTTAACTTAAATAATTAATATTTATATTAATATATTTATCTTATAAACGCCTTATGTTACTTTCCATCTTCTGTACAGAAGGCAGCAGTACTCTTATTAGAGAGGAAGGGGTCACACTTGTGGAAATTACTGTGTCACTACTTCTAAGATTATTGTCTTCCACTTAAGGGGAAAAACAGTTCATTCTTTAGAAAACAATGGGAAGTGACTTGATATGTTATTACTTAAATTTCAGTGTATAGTATGTTTTAATAAGAACAAATGCCACGGTATTTGAACATTCAAATACTTACAAGATGAAAATGCTGCAGTTTCTACACTGCCATTATTTTTAATCTACCTTTTATGCTGCAATAGAGTAACTAGGGTTGAAATTTTAAAGGACTTTTGGGTATTCATCTGCCAAACAAGGTACAAGACATTTAAATGAATGTCTAAACCAGGCTCTACCAGTAATTTTATGTCTTTCTAAAGCAGCCTTGAAATAATAATTTGAATAAATCTATGGATAGAATCACTTTTAACAGCTCATTTGCTAAAGTTGTCAAACTTGTACTCATCAATAAAAGAAGCAATCAGATTTAAATCTCCAAAACCAGTAGAAATTATAGTTACTTGTTAAAATTAGATTTTGGCTTTTTAACTAGGAGAAAAAAATCAAACATGACTGTTACAACCTCCTTTTAAATCAAAATATCAAATTTTGGGGTTTTCACTAGGAGTTAAAATTCATTTATAATGTGATTGTTACAACTTTATTTTAAATCAAAATACTATTTATTAAGTTGGTTTCCATAGACCCTTGATTATTTTAAGAGTCCAGTTACATCTTAAAGATTTTAGAATTTGTTTTTGTGAACAATAACATGCTGAATTTACAGCAGAAAAACATCTGAGCATGGTGGTACACACCTGTAATCTTAGGACTTGTTCGGGTGAGGCAGAAGAATCTAGGTGAAACAGCAATTTAGTGAGACTTGTGTCACAAAATAAAAAGGGCTGGGGATGTCTCTCAGTAATTGAGTATCCCTGAGTTCAATCACCAGTACCACAACAAATATATTGATTAAATTTTATAACCAATAAAAATGAAGAAAATTAAATTCAAATTCTAATTTTGATTTAAACTTTTGAAGCAGAATTAATTCTATCCTTATAATGCAGGATGGTACTCAACATTTTGCTTTGAGTTAAATGGAATTCCAAGCTAGACTTGAACAATGATCTATTTTCTTAGATTTTCTTTTGTACAGTGATTTAGCAGTCATTATCACAGTGTAAAACGTATTAGCCCCATCAAAATCCTCTTTAAATACATTTCACACAAATCTCGATAAGCCTTGGGCATTTGAATCAAAACCAGCCCTACGTGCTGCTCCTTAGATTTATTTTTCCTGGTACCTACTTTGTTAAAAGTAACTTCTGATTCAGCTTTTCTTCTATTTTTGTTTACCTCGTTTTAAGATCAGAGCTCTTTGAACTCTAATATTGTCTTACTTGAACTTTTGCACATTTCAGGGAAACCTCAGCTCAGAACTACTAAGCTCCTCTTAGTAGGAATAAAAGAGCCTTGTTTTTAAAAACATATTTTTGTTTAGTGAATAGCAGAAAATTTTATTTATAACTTTAACCATCTATAACCAAGAATCTACAAAGAGGCTAGAACCTTGGAATTGTAAGATTCTAAGTACAGAAAAGAAAGAAAGTTACTTTTCTGTACTAATGAATGTTCAAAAAACTCGAAAGTAGTTGAGCATTAATAGTAAAAATAATAATGATGACAATAGTTTTCCACATCTCATTGTCAGCTGACATTTTATGGTACTGTATATTCATTGAGGATTATTATTTCTGTTTAATTAGAATGTTATTGTTATAGACTGTTTAAGCCTGCAATCATTTTTTTTATTATGTCAGAAACAATGTATTTTGTGATTACCTCTCTGAAATATGTAAATGATTGGGATTAAGTAAAAATTGTGAATAAATTTTCAGAAACCTAATTCTGAGATGAAGATATTTATAAGATTAGAATTTCGACTTTCGGATTTCCATATGCACATTGCCTCACTGACTAAGATATGCCATAGAGATGGGTTTTTTATATATTTTGAAGGACCTGTGGCTGCATTCAATCATTGAACAATTATTTATTGAAAATGTTCTGTGCAAAAAACAATGGTTTTAAAATTTGAAATCAAACACCAATTACAGACAGCATCAAAATTTGTAAATAACTGAAAAAATATATCTCTTAGGAAAGAAATGTTACTAAAGGAATAAGTCAGGAAAATTTTTTGGGGGGATTTTTTTATGTCTAAAACATTTTGAAGATAAATAGTCATCTTCGAAAATCTTATAAACTGGTAACTTCTGGGATTTTTTTTTGGTGGGTTTTTTGGGGGAGACGGACAAACCAACTTGACTGTTACAAACATCAACCTGCAACTTCCCTAAACCCGGATTATCTTAAACCGGGAATGCCCTAAACTCGTCTTAAACCAGGAATGCCTTAAACTCAAGGAGCGGGAAACTTCCTCAAACCTGATCAGCTCTAAACCTGGATCCGCCTGGTCTTGGAGCAAGGTCACCTAACTGAAGCATACATGCAATGTCCCATTGAATGTCCTCTAGGCAGCATGGGGTATGCAGGCAAGAAAATATTCATGCGTTAATTCCTACTTGGCAGTGGTCCTTAGCACTAAGCCCAATTGGCTGCCCATTTTTTGTTTTTATATGTTCAAGCATTCGTTATCAGTAACAGTTTGAATTTTTAGTTTTCACTCTGTTTTCTCCTATATTGATTGATGTAGTTGGAACTCTAAATCAAACACGGTTTCTGCTAGCTTCTTGAAACTTGAAACAATAAAGTAGTTTCCAGTTCTATCTCTATGTTTTGTTTTCTCTTTATGTAGCCCTAAGTAGTGATAGGCGAGAACCACTCTCACTAAAAGGGGTTGCCAAGCTTCTAAAAAATTACGAGATTCCTGAAATCTCAGCAGATATTTTTTCACCCAAACTTGATGATACTTTCAGATAAGGATCAGTACACTAAGCCCACTTGGCTGCCAAAATTTTATTCTTCTATGTTGGAGCATTCGTTTCCAGTAACAGTTTGAAATTTTAGGTTTTATTCTGATTTCTTCTATATTGATAGATGTAGTTGGGAATCTAAATCAAACACGGTTTATGGTAGATTCTTGAAACTTGACAAATTAACGTAGTTTCAATTTCTATATCTATGTTTGTTTCCTCTTGATGTAGCCCGAAGCAGTGACTGGAGAGAAACACTTTCATTGAAAGGGGTTGCCAAGCTTCCAGAAAATTTTGAGTTTCCTGAAATCTCAGCAAATAATTTTGAACCAAACTTGATGATACTTTCAGGTAATGTTCAGCACACTAGGCCCACTTGGCTGCCCAAATTTCATTTTTCTAGGTTGAAGTGTTCATTTCCAGTAACAGTTTGAATTTTTAGTTTTCACTCTGTTTTCTCCTATATTGATTGATGTAGTTGGAACTCTAAATCAAACAAGGTTTGTTCTACCTTCTTGAAACTTGACAAAATAATGTAGTTTAAAGTTCTATCTTTATGTTTTGTTTCCTCTTTATGTACCACTAAGCAGTGACTTGCGAGAAACGCTTTCAGTAAAAGTGGCTGCCAAGGTTCCAAAGAATTACGAGTTTCCTGACATCTCAGCAAATATTTTTTTCACCCAAACTTGATGATACTTTAAGGTAATGATCAGTACACTAAGCCCACTTGGCTGCCAAAATTTCGTTCTTCTCATTTGGAGCATTCATTTCCAGGAGCAGTTTGAATTTTTAGGTTCCACTCTGTTTTCTAATATATTGATAGATGCAGGTGGAACTCTAAATCAAACACGGTTTGTGCTAGCTTCTTGAAACGTGACACAATAACGTAGTTTCAGTTCTGTCTCTATATTTGTTTCCTCTTGATGTATACTTAAGCAGTGACTGGCGAGAATCACTTTCTTTAAAAAGGGTTGCCAAGCTTCCAAAAAATTACGATTTTCCTGAAATCTCAGAAAATATTTTTTCACCCAAACTTGATGATACTTTCAGGTAATGATCACTACACTAAGCCCACTTGTCCGCACAAATTTCGTTTTTCTATGTTGAAGCATTCGATTCCAGTAACTATTTGAATTTTGAGGTTTCACTCTGTTTTCTCCTATATTGATAGATGCAGTTGTAACTCTAAATCAAACACGATTAGTTCTAGTTTCTTGAAACGTGACACAATAATGTAGTTTGAAGTTCTATCTCTATGTTTTGTTTCCTCTTGATGTAGCCCTAAGCAGTGACTGGAGAGAAACACTTTTATTGAAAGGGGTTTCAAAGCTTCCAGAGAATTACGAGTTTCCTGAAATCTCAGCAAATATTTTTTCACCCAAACTTGATGATACTTTCAGGAAATGATCAGTACACTAAGCCCACTTGGCTGCCCATTTTTCCTTCTTCTATGTTGGAGCATTCGTTTCCAGGAACCGTTTGAATTTTTTGGTTTCACTCTGCTTTCTCCTATATTGATAGATGTAGTCGGGAATCTAAATCAAACACGGTTTTTTCTAGATTCTTGAAACTTGACAAAATAACGTAGTTTCAAGTTCTACCTCTTTGTTTTGTTGCTTCTTGATGTAGCCCTAAGCAGTGATGGATAGAAACACTTTCATTAAAAGGGGTTTCCAAGCTTCCAAAGAATTACGAGTTTCCTGAAATCTCAGCAAATATTTTTACCCAAACTTGATGATACTTTCAGATAATGATCAGTACACTAAGCCTACATGGCTGCCCAAAATTTCGTTCTTCTATGTTGAAGTG